AATTATCTATTGTAAAGTTATAGTGTTGATTTTTATGAAGGTGTATGGGTTAGGATAGTTTAGTGTTGTAGATGGATTTGTTAGTGAAGTTATATAGTCTGTGATTGCTTTGAATCATTTTGGAGTTTTGCCTCTTGGTATTTTTTATATGTTATGATGAAAAGATATCCAATCTAGAATATTGTAGTTTGAGTAGTCAAGAAATTGTTCAATACAGATTATATTGTAGTTGTTTAATTTTTCTTTAATTGCATATGCTTGTTTTATTGATTGAAAAATTTGGTTAATAGATGTGCTTTTTGTTTGTTTAAAAATAAGCCATGAGTTTGTTATATGTTCTAGCTGAATGTTTAGTGAATGAAGTGTGAATATTATTTGGGCTGTGTTTGTTTTAACTTTATTTGTAGTTAATATAGATTGTTCTAGTAAGATTGATTTGTTTGAGTTGGCTGCATTTTGAATTTGTTGTAATCTGATTTTTAAACTATAAGTATCAAAGTTAGGTGAATTAATACTTCTATCTAATGTACAAATTTGTTGCTGTTGTTAAACATTGTAAAGTGTATTCAGAGCATATATATTAAAATGATATAAGGTAGAATTAAGGGTAGACCAAGCTAGTCTAGCTTTTTTTTGATGATATTTGTATTGTTATAGGCTCTAACTCAGTGCCACCCTGACCCATGCCCACTTACAGTAAGAATGCTCCTGAAACAAGCAAACGATTATGCATCGATTGTACCTTGAGAAACTTGGAAGCCAAGCCACCTATCTGAAACAATGCTATAATGATGCAGAATCGGATACTATAGCTGTTTGTTGAGGGAGATCTGCCAGATTGGGCTAGTTGTTTGTGCCGCATGAGGCCATTCAAGGTCCTGATCATAATGACAGATCTGAAACTGTTGAGTTTAGTGGAAAAATGTTGGATCTTGGGCCTCTGTGCTGTCTCTTTTTGTGGGGTGCCATTCTAGTATATAAGTGCCTTTTTTTAAAGAGAGAATTAAGAGAGTCAACAATCATATTAATAATAAAAAACTGTCATTAGCAATAAACCAAGACCTTGCACTCATGCCTTAGTCTTGCCAAATCGTTCTGCCTCTTCCATGGTGCAACGTTTTGTGACGTTTGGTATTTTCAAGTGACAATCTGATGCATTTTCCTTGCCCCTATTATAAAACCAAAAAAAACATTAACCCACCACCTTCAACAGTATATAGGTTTGTAATGGAGTTGCAAGAACATTTTAATAAATAAGTACTTTGCATTTGATATGCTGCACATATAAGAATTACATTATTGATAATGTAAATAGCCTGTTTGTCAGTTATTTTAGCAAATTTGATTTTGTTTAAATTAGAAGTAATGTCTTTGATAAGAAATTTTTTTGTAGATTGAAGAAATAGGTTTCAAGTAAGCCACGCTCTTAAATATTTAAATATTGCTTTTTGTTAGATTTTTGGTATATTCTTTTTCTGGAATATTATGTTTGCATTAAAATCTGAATTGTTAGTTACTAGTATTGATTTGTGAGTGTTAACTTTTGATATTGGTATAAGAAAGAAAGGAGTTGACTGTTTTTAGTATGTTTTGTAACTTTTGTTTATCTTTGGCTATCCATATTATATTATTCATATATGCTACTACAGAAGTATGTATTAATATAGTAGAAGAATGTGTATAAGTTTTAAGTTAATAACCTTGATATGTTGTATCAATTCAGTTAATGAGTGAATCATAGTAGATTCTCTATAGGATTAGAAAAAAGGTCTCTTTCTGATAGATTCTATCTTGTACAGTATAAGGTTGTATTAGTTTCTATTTGTAATAACAGAATTTTGTCTGTTGTTAAAAAAATGATTTAATAAGTTTATAATTAAGAAAGGAATATAAATTCATTGAAGTGTCTTGATTAGTAGAAGGATGTGTACTATATTGTAGGCTTTGAACATATCTTGTGCTAAGATCTAGTATTTGTTTTTTGTTATATTAGCATGCTCTATTATAAGAGAAATAGTTTGAATAGGTTAAAGAGTAGAAATGAATAGAAGTGCCACATTGTTATTTGGATTTAGGATTGGGTGTTTGGTAAGGATATTATTTAGTCAATAGATAATTATTTTGGTAAAAATTTTTCAGATATGTTCAATTAAGGTGATCAGTCAAGTATATAAAAGATCATTATTATAGTGTTGTTTTTTTGAAATAGTTCAAATGTTTGCATGTTTCTAGCTACTTGGTGTTTTTTTCAATTGTTAAATATGCATTGAAGATCTAAAGAAGAATTTATTTTGCTGATGTTAAAAGGTGTTAAATCATTTCATTAAATATTCCTAAAGGGTCAGTAGCTTTGTATAGTAGTGATAATGTTATAGTTTCTGTTAGTTCAAAGATTGATATTAGTTGTGACAAGTTATTGTATATGTTGGAGTTGATATTTGGTAAAGATTGAAGAAACTGTATCTATTCATGTTCAAAATTAGAGTTTGTTGGGTTGTGTTTAGTTCAGTTGTTAAAGTACTCTTTTGTTGCTTGTTTTATTTCTTCTGAATTATTAATTATTTTCTCTGATGTTATAATTTTGTCAAAGAAAACTTGTTCCTGATTGCATTTAAGTATACTGTTTATTATGCATGATGTGTTTAATTTTATGTCATTATATCTTCATTGTATGTAGAAATTTCTCTTTTTTTTTTGTGCATTTGGAATTTCTAGATTGCAGGCTTTCTATAGAGTTTTTTTAAGCTGCTTTACAGTTTGCTAAAAATTATTAAAGTTTAAAATAATGTTTTGGATTTGGCATAGAGAAATAGGTTGTTCTGAGTGTAATAATATTTGTTAAAATAAATTGTTTAGATCTTGTATTGTAGACTGAATTGAAGTTGAAGGTTTAATATTTCTCAAGATAAAAAAACATTTGTTTGTTAGTTTAAATGCTAAATATAATTTCGTTGCTTTTAGAGAAAAGGCATAGTGTTTTTTAGACACTGTATATGTTTTTGATATTATTTGATTCATGACTTTCTTAATTGAATTTGACTATTTGTTCTAGAGGTTTTTTAATTGTTGTAGTGTTGTAATATTGTAAATTGGATTTATTAACTTTATTTCAGTTTCTAGTGTTACAGTAGAGAGGCCTTCTTTAACTCCTTACTATAACAATAAGGGGAGTGCAGTTAATCACGTAATATTTTTTTATTATAGAGCCTTACCCCCCCTCCTATGTGATAGTATAAATTTCTCAAAATATTAGACCTCTATATACTATACATGGGTTACAATGAGATAAATTTAGTAAAATGTAAAAAGACCCAGGGTATGCAAATAAAAAACAAAAAAAAACTATTATTAAACCCATGCTATATAAAAGACCCAGCAGGTCTATTATAAATTTTTAAATTTGGTAAAATGTACTAGACCCGGGTCTTGTATCCAGAAGTTTGCAATAATAAGAATTATCAGACCCATGCTATACAAGAGACCCAGTCTATTATAAGTCTAAAATTGGTGAAATGTACTAGATTCGGGTCTTGTTATTTCTAAAACAAATTGTACTCTGCATCTGTCCGTCAGATACTTGATGTATATGCCATAATGGATTGATATCGATATCCATTATTTCTATTAACTCATCACATCTTTCGTGATATTTATCACTATTCATGTTTAATAAAATAAAAATCCGCACTTTAAATGAATATTATCATTATATGACTAAAAGTGAATTTTAATTATAATTCCTTTTATAAAATTATCAATTACATCGTTCAATATCGATAAATGCTACGTATCAAAAATAATACAAGTCCATAAAATTTAGAATTGCGCAAATCATAATTTAAATATTAGCACTAACATAAAACAAAAACAGGTACATATTACTTCGTAGAAGTTTATTTCACAGACAATCAATCCATAGACAAGTTTATTTTAAAGAAAATTAATTTACAGACAGTTCATTTCATAGACATTTCATTTTGTAGACAATCTTTACACTAATTCGGAAATTATTTGCTGTTAAAGATTGTCTACAAAATGAAATGTCTATGGAATGAACTGTCTGTAAATTAATTGTCTTTAAAATAAACTTGTCTATGAATTGATTTTCTGTGAAACAAGGCGTTTGTGAGATAAACTTCTACGAAGTGATACCCAACAAAACGCCATATAAACGATAATGGGTTTTGATAAACCCGATTTACCATGAACCGTTTAATAAAATGCGAATGACGCCAAGTGAAAACTTGATCTATTTTACAAGTGCAAGTATAGATTGATAAAAATAAATCTACATAACGCCAAGAAAAACTTAAAATCTATATACACTCAACAAGTTATTGTTATGACTAGATGTTAAAAGATAACGCCAGAAATTGAACTCCATAAAAATTTACCAAATAATATCATTGTAACTTACTTGCATCGCCAAATATCCTTTTTTACAATAACGATAATCTTGAATCATGAATGTAAATTAAGCAATTTCCATATATATCTATAAATTAAAAAACAAGAATATACCTAATATATTAAAGTTTATGTTCTTCCGATTCTCATTATACACGTACAGTACATGTGGGAGAAAATTCAATTTTTTTTTTTTTTTTTTTGCTTGAATCTTAATTCCAGGATTCGTAAATAGGACCAAAAATAGTCATATTAACTGATTAAAGAGTCTTCAATCCGGTCGTAGCTATCGAGCGCTCAAAATACTAATTATCAAATTACACCAATATTTGTCATACTTACTCAGCATTGGACCAACAGAATTATCTCATTTATCAGTTATAGATATGTGCCAAATTCAAAAAGAAATTTTAAGATTATCATATTTCTTTTAGGATTTGCACATATTTATATTCACATAGTCACCAAGTTAGGCCATTCAGTAAGCAAAGATATTTAAATAGAAAGCACCAAACCGATTTGTAACTAATTTCTTATTTATTTCTCCCATAGTATAGTATATAACAGAAAATTCATATTAGTAACAATTCGAAATGACACAAAGCTTTCTTTCAATGCCAAATTTTTCAAAAACTTACTTGTATGTTATCCCTAAAAATTTATACCAAGAATTTTGTAACGCTTTTGCGTTTTTTACAATGGTTAAGGCCTGTAATCCAAGTATGAATCGGCAAGATTTAATGGATACAGCAAATACAGAATGGCGACTATGTCGAACTGAATCAGAAACAACTATTAGAGACCAAATCAAACAATATCTTGCAGCAAGTCCGCCTATTATACGAACAGCAAACTTTTTTCTACCACCTGGTTCATATAGTTCTAAATCATCAAATTCTTTAAATACAAACTCAAATTCTGCAATTTCTTCATTGCCTTCGGCTAATGAAGAACATATTCTTGCTCCTAATACGTCGTCTCAACATCAAGCTTTAACCCTAATTAAAGAAACTGGAACTAAAGTAAATGAATACGAAAATCTATTGCTAAATACTAATGACATAGATCTTAGGCGTCAGATATATGAGAAGTTAAGGGATAATCGTGCTATTATTGAAAAGGAAAAAAAACGTCTCAGTTTATTAAAAAGCCATGCTAAGTCTCAAGCAAAACTTAGAGAAAAAAAAAGAAAACAACTTAACGAAGGTATTGCAGTAATATATGATACTAGTGGACGCTCATCCGAATTTCAAAAAAATCCCAAATTGCTTGATCAAATACATGATTGTGTTGAATTTGGTGCAGCGGAAAAAAAAAGAAGAAAGACTGTGATTAAAGTTCGCACAATCAGACACTTAAAGGAAGCATTACAAGAAAAGTATAATGTTTACCTCACACGACAAACTCTTTCAACATATCTTTTACCCCGACATCCCAATTCACGTCAAGCAAAGCGCCACCATTATCCTGCACAAATTAAAGTAAGCGCTGTTTCTCGTTCTGAAATGAAGTTTCATGTGGATGAACACTACTGTCTCGCGTCGGTTAAAATGGTTAGAAAGTTTGCTGTAACTTTTGCTAACCATAGCCTTATCATCTCGCAAGATGATAAGGCTAAGGTTGGCTTAGGTGTGCCAGCAGTCGGTAGAACTTTTAAAAGCATCCAATCACTTAGTGAACCTATTACTGTCTCTGATCATGATTTTCCATGTGGAGCTAAACAAAAACTTATACCTTCAGTTTATCTTATTATCAACCCTGAAAACACAAATGAAACATTACGTCAAGGTCAATTATCCATTTATGTTCGACCAGAGTATTTTGTAGGAACTTCATCTTTATCTCATATGAGAGATTTAATTGAGATTTCAAAATGTGATGATTTTGCGCCGATGTTGAAATATAGTGACCATCTTAAGTCTATTTGGTTCTTGTTAGTTGACGGGGGGCCAGACGAAAACCCAAAACATTTGAAAAATATTGTTGAATATTGTCATCTTTTTCGTGAGCTTGATCTTGATTATCTTTCTGTTAGAACGCATGCTCCTTATCAGTCAGCTTACAATCCAGTAGAACGCAGTATGTGTACACTTTCTGAAAAGCTAGCTGGAATTGAGCTTCCAATTAATAAGTTTGGTTAGTGTTAATAATACAGTTAGTTCTCTTTATAATGAACAGACGGTTCTTCTGGTAAAAAGCTTTGAATTCCTTAGAGTAATTTATAATGTTGCTCTATAATAAATTTTAAAAAAAGTTTGTTATCGAGTGGTTTCATTATAAAAAAGTTCATAATAAAGAGAGTTGACATATATAAGTTTAATATAATAATGTACAACCTTTTTTTTTCTTCCTCTTATGCTTTAATTCTAGGATCTCATCTTAACAGCCAAGGTGTAGTTGTAGATGAAGACTTGGCAAAGCGCAACTTTGAATTTTCTGGTCAAAGTTTGTGTGAAATTTGGAAGCGTGATAATATTCATGGAAGACAAGTGCATGCCAATTACATTGATTATGATGAAGATCCTTTTCATAATAAAGGAAAAGAGCCTACCACGTGGTTGTGGATAGAACGTCATGCTCAGCTATGCCGCTACTCTCTGGATGTGCGAAAATGCCCTGATCGAAATTGCTGTAGTGATGTTTATGCCAAAGAAGCAATTGATCTATTGAAGGAAAATGGTGGGTTTCTCCTACCATTAACAAAAGGAAAAGATAACTGCTTTTTAAATTCAATCCATGTTTTGCAATATATAGACAAGACAAAATTGTCTAAATATGATGAAGAGTGTCCTTCACTATCATCACAAGCACATCAAAGACTTTGCTGCAATATATGCAGTAAATATTTTCCTACCGCGAAGATGATTACAAAACACAAACAAGTAATTCATGCAAAAAAACCACTCCAAAAAAATGAAAATCAAACCTCTATATCTGATCTTGAACTTCCTATTGTGCTAATTGAACATGTTGAACTGCCTTACTTATCTACAGAAGAGGTTATCGAATCTTTAGAATATCTTGACAATGACAACCATCAAATTCAATTAAGTAATTCAACTTTTATGGAAGATTTTTCCAACCTACCCTCTATTCGTTCGTCATGCCAGTCATCTGAAGTTTTTGATTTACGAGAGGTGCTTTCCGACGTTGAATAAAAAACTATTACTCATTAGAGTAAGAAACAGGATAGTACTTTTTTTTTTGTTTTATTTTTATTAGTATTCATTGATTTTCAAATTATTATGTATTATTGTATTATCGAAGCAGTCAACTCTTTTATAACGAACTAATGATCTAGAAAAAAAAAAATAAGCTTATATAAAAATTACTACTTTTTCTTAAAAACCATAGCTCTTTTATGTTGAACTCAAGAAATTTAAGAACTTGAGTTCGTTATATTGATATTATATTCAGAGTTGACTGCATAATCAATTAAAAAAATTAAGCTTAGGCTTTAAGACGAATGCTATCAATTCACTTTAAAAATAAAAGTTAAAAGCCGTAATACTTTTTGCTTCAAAGATCTATTAAATTTATAATGACTTTTTTTCTTTAATAAAGAAAATTTACCGTAATAGTAATAGGTCAAAGAAAGATCTTGGCACAGTATACTCCTCTAGTATGTACACGTACGTACTGTAATACAGTAGTAATAGGTTACGTACTATGTACGTACGTATGTACGAACGTACATATCTGATATAAAAATCTGTATACAGTCAACCCTCCATAAATGCACCCTCTATAAATGCACACACTATGTATGCCCTCTCTAAATGCACACTAATCTTTAGTCCCAAGCATATAGAGCACTTAATAAAATGCCCTCCATAAATGCACGCCCTCTCTAAATGCACATGTTTAAAATTTTTGCTTATAGTCCCAAGGGGGGTGCATTTACGGAGGGTTGACTGTATATTGAAAATCTTTTGCATTATTTAATTTTACATTCGTCATGCATTTAAAACGACATTTCACGTGATCACAGTGCTATGCTTAGAAAAATAAAGCATTATATAATTTCACATTGTCACGCATTTTATGAACAGACATTTCATGATAACATGTGCTATGCTTAGAAAAATAACTTATTTTTAAAGTTGTTCAAAAATCGTAAATCATTGGTAGCTTAAAATTTTAGTTACAAAAAAATTCCTTGCAAAATTTTAGTATAATATTTTTAATTATGATTGACCGATTTTGTAGATCATCTTATTATAAGAAAAGTAACCACAAAAATGAATTCGCAGCCACGAATATGAATTTGCAGGTGTTCGATATAAAAATTTAGGAAATACACTTTCGACTCTACAACATACCGAAGTAATTTGGTAATTGGCGAGGTAATTCGGAAGATAGATGAGAGGTATGTTTGAACGTATCAATTTAGCAAATAAGTCATAAATATAACATACGAATCTATTATTGAGTTTAATAATTTATTTTTTTTGAGTTATTATGAGTTATTTATGATCCCAAACTACCAGTAGAATAGTTTAGTGAAATAGTTTAGTAATGCAGCCTGAGATTAGAACGTAATACCACGTTTAATTAAGGTTATCGAGGTTAAAATAATTTGACACCAATAAAACTAGTATTTCGATTAAAATTGATTATACGTTTTTTATTAGATTTTAGTATATTTTCTGCATCTTCTAGTTTTTTTTCGTCTTTTTTTTTATTTTTTTAATTCGTGTATTTATTTAATAAGATCCTGGTTTGTGTGATCTTGTTTGTGCTAGGCTTAGGGTCTTAGACTTTTAAATGTGAGATCTTTGTAGTAGTGTTTTTATTAAGACCAACTTAGTCTTATATAAAATATTTTGTCATATCGATTAACCAATCGTATTTTGCAATATCACGTAATGATCTTCAAAAATCAGCCAATCACAATGAAAGCCCTTTATACTGTTTAAACGACATTTTCATTATTTAATCAAAAAGTAGGATTTTTTTCTCGTCCAATAGGAACTGTGGGGGAAAATTAGTAAACTCGCCACTGGGATAGTTCCTCAAGCTCACTGTCATCGTCAAATAATTTAGGAGAATTTACAAATAAGGGTCCGAAAAGTGAATATAAGGGCCCAAATTAAAAATAATTACATAAAAGGGCCTAATTTTTAAAATATATTACATATAAGGGCCCAAAATAACAGTGACATCAATCCAGCATAAGAAATATAAGCATTGATAAACGTAACGAACGATTGCAAATTAACGAAAAAAGAAATTTTTTAAATTAAATAAATTTCATTTTCTTGAAAAAATCGATCATTGTTATAACAAACCACTATGATATCAAGTAAAGCACTGCGAATTGGAATAAGTTTTACTAATATGAAGATAATTGTTCTGTTCTTGAGAGCTACTTTGTTGAATAAATAATTGTGCCAGTTTAACACCATTTTTTATACAATATTTAAGCGAAAATGATTGTAGTCAGCACTTCATTTATTTATTTTTATCTATTAATTGATATCTAGATAACTCTAAATGCCTATAATAAAACAATCAATAATCCTATAATCGAGATTTTCTATTGTTATAAGTCAAATGGTTAGAGTAACTTGGGGCACAGTAGTTCCATGTTCATGTTTTTCATCCATCAATAGACTTAGGTCCCTATATGTAATATTTTTAAAAATTAGGCTCTCATATGTAATTATTTTTTATTTGGACCCGTATTGTAATTATTTTCACTTTCGGGCCCTTATTTGTAAATTCCCCAATGATTTAAGCGGTCAAATTTGCCCGCTTATCATTCATGACAGTTTAAGAAATAAATTCATATGAGTTGTCTGAACACCGATGAGTACTGCTTTTAATTATATATTGCATAATAGAAAATAAAAATTATATATTGGTATGTTTTTTGTGACGTAGACTTTGTCTTGCATCAAAAGATATATATAAAATTGGGATCTAAAAAGGGTTTGTTAATAAGTAAAAATGATTACAACAATCAAACGTGATCTCGAGATTTTTACTTCATAAGAATGAAGGCATGCCACTGAGCAGAAACATGCTACTTTCGACCACTCGTCTTTACTTCGTTGTTACATTCTTACCTCTTTGATTTATTCTTTAATTTTATCAGTTGTATTTTCTAAGTTATCATTTTTTGAACAAAGAAAATAAGAAGGGATGAGAGTTGTACATTAATTGTAATGTTTTGTTGCATTTGTCTATGTGTACGTGAGCTACCCCTAACTTTTTACAAACTCTCAAGGCACCTTTCGTGATATCCGAGTCATTAGCCACAAAGAAATTTGTTTTTTTGGGTTTCATATAAATCAGTTGCCTCATGAATACATAATCTATCTTTTTTTTATCAATTAAAATGTAACCTTCCACACTTTCCTTCTCGTAAAAATACTTAACGTGAATATAATTCCTATGTTTCAACTTGTTGTATTCTCGAGACATGTCATTACGACTTTCACACATCAAACCTTTCTTGATGAAAAAATCATTTACGATCTTGTAATTGATGGGATCCTGATATTTGTAATTCCTAAGAGGATTACGCCACCAATTTTTAAACAATGCACAATCAATATGCTTTCTCCTGATTTTTTTGTTATTGTAAATATCAAAATCGATATTGACATGTTTGTGTTTATGTAAATTTATGAATTCATTTATGTAATCACCAGAAGCAAAAGATGTATCTACAAAAATATCAATAAACAATGTAATGATACGTGTAATAAAACATGTAATTAAACATTTTAGGTACCTCTTACACCACTTTTTTCTAAATTTCGTAATTCTGTCATCTTATCACGCTTTCATACTTCGTGTTTCTTGTATCCGTATAAGAACATCCATGTTTCTCGTAAGTTTATGTCGGTATGTTTATATTTGATTTTCTTCTTACTACCATGAAAACGTAAAAGATCATCAAACGTTTCTCTCAACAACTTGCATGAGGAACGTATGCTTATGATGGTCCAGATTGGTTTCATGTGTTTGCCAAAGTTGCAATCTAACAAGGCCCAGACCAGGAATTCCAAGATGATGATGATGATTTTGTTGGGCACCACACCCTGGAATCTCTTCTTGTTCTTGTTTATGACGCGACATTTGACCGAGAAGTTGAATGTCTGATTTGGAAAAGTTGTATTCTTGGTTTCTTTATGATCTCGTGGTGCAGATTGATTTGATTTTACTTTTTTTTTGTTGTGTTTGGACAAGATGTCTATTTCGAGTATGCGCTTCATGTTTATTGTTATTTAGATACTTCGTATTTCGTCGACATAGACGTGTGGTGACAAGATTTTATTCTGCTATTTTTGAGGAGATAGATTTTATCATACGATAACCTCTTGATTCCATGAATGTTACACAAACGCGTTTTTTGTTTCCTCATACGAGTTATACCACAAGCTGCATGCATGATATGCATGATCTAAGATGTCCAATCATTGGTAGATCAGTTACACAATTGGTAAATTTTTAGGAAGTTCGCGTAACTTACCTTGCTATGAAAGGTGGATGAGTCTTTTAAGCAACTTGAAGTATTCACGTCAAACAAAGGGAAAAAAAGCAACACTGAAAAGTAACAATTCAGTAAAGGTAATGTATCAAGTACATTAGTTTATTTAATTATTAATATATATGTTGCATAGAAGTTTTCTAATGAATAATAATAGATAATTAACCACGCATGTAATTTTTTTTTTGTTCAGGATATATTGAAATCGATATATATATCTATGTATGTACTAATGCTAGAAATGCCTTCAATAGTAAAATAGTAGCTATATTATAGAGATTACATAAGATGTAAGTTTTACATTAGAGATAAGCTAATCGTATCAAAGATTATTAATTTTTATTACGGTATATAGTAGAAATTAGCTTATTAGCTATTAATATAAAACGAGTACAGTCAAACTTCTTTATAATCACGCCCTTGGTTTTAAGAATTTGGTGCTTATAAAGAGATTGTGCCTATATAGAGGTTAAATTTTATAAGTATTATATAAGTTGTTTTTAAAATTTTATATAACTATATAGGAGATGACTATAAACAAATATGACTATAAAGAAGGTAAC